TCCAAGGTGTCCCCGTGATGGACTGGAGACCTGTCCAAGGTGTCCCCCGCCTCTGGACAGTGACTGACCCCCGCGACCCACAAAGGAAGAAGCAGGTAAATGATAACAGATGTATTTCTTCTTTTATTTAGCGATAGATTTATTTTTCATCACAAAACATGAGATTTATCTTTTGTTTTTAAGTTGCATTAAGTGTGAAGTCAATTTGAATTTAAATTTAATTTATACTTTAAATACTGAAGCAACAAAACGTGTTTAACTTGTGCTGCACACAAACAGCGTAAGAGAGCGGGCTGAAGTTTTTAAACTTTAATTTAAAGTGAAAGTGTTTCCTGTTTACTTTCATCAGTAAGAGCTTGTTTACAGATTTTCACTCAATGTTTTATGATCGTAAAAAAATTAATTTTGATCATCATGCAGTAAATATTTAACTAAACTCTTCATCCCTCATCAAAGTTTTCATGAATTCCAAAACTTGTCCAGGAGAGCATCTGTCTAAAATAACTTTACTAAATGAATAATTTTAGAGTCAAGACGAATAACTAAGCACGTTAGATGTAAAAAAGAAAAATCTCATTTCCTAAATAAAGACGCAGCAATATTAATGTGAGCACATAAAACACAGAGAGCATCAAATAAGGAGCTGTTTTTTTTATTTCTTGGAGCACATTCCCTGAACATACCCACACATGTCAGCACAGGTGAAATATCTGCTGTTTCTCAGGCAACATCTGCTGATTGTTTATAAAAAGCTTCAGCTGCTCAAACTAACTCTGCAACTAAAACTAACTGTGGCTAAAACTAACTCAGTGGCTAAAACTAGCTCTGCGACTAAAACTAACTTGGCTGCTAAAACTAACGTGGCCACTAAAACTAACTCTGTGGCTAAAACTAACTATGTGGCTAAAACTAACTGCAACTAAAACTAACTGTGGCTAAAACTAACTCAGTGGCTAAAACCAGCTCTGCGACTAAAACTAACTTGGTGGCTAAAACTAACGCAGCCACTAAAACTAACTCGTCGGCTAAAACTAACTCTGCAGCTAAAACTAACTCAACTCGGCTGCTAAAACTAACTCGGCCGCTAAAACTAACGCGGCCACTAAAACTAACTCTGTGGCTAAAACTAACTCGGCTGCCAAAACTAACACGGCTGCCAAAACTAACTCTGTGGCTAAAACTAACTCGGCTGCCAAAACTAACGCGACCACTAAAACTAACTATGTGGCTAAAACTAACTCGTCGGCTAAAACTAGCTATGCGACTAAAACCAACTCGGCTGCCATAACTAACGCGACCACTAAAACTAACTCAGCGGCTAAACTAACTCTGCAGCTAAAACTAACTCAACTAGGCAGCTAAAACTAACTCGGCTGCCAAAACTAACCCGACCACTAAAACTAACTCGTCGGCTAAAACTAACTCGGCTGCCAAA